GTACTTTAAAGCATATAAATAAGTTACCCGGGCAATTGATTTACATTAGCCAATCAGACGAACTTCTGTCTATGAAATTGCCCATCCCTAGTGGCGATACTAAGCGGGTCTTAATTTACATCCCTCTGGAGGTAAAGTTTAATTAATAAAGAAAATAGTTTAACGAATCAAATGTGTTTATCATTCCAATGAATAAACCATGTGATAATAGTTTATTGCATCAGGATAACAATTTATTTAGTAGAAGATTGTTTATCCGATCAAAGGTATTTATCATTCCAATTTACAAACGATGAAGGCCCAGATGTCCTTCTTTTTCACATAGTTGCGCTGATTGGTTGAAAATTTTCATTAATTAACTAGAACAAATAATTGTTCAAGTGCTTCACTCTTGAATCTTCAAAATCGTTACCAGCAACAAAGGATTGTTACCTTATTGCTTATGCTAAAAGGTTTTGCCGCAAATAAAAAGGATTGAAAGTTTATTTATCGCATTGGATATTTTTGCCGTTATGACAATATATGAAAATTTGGGAAGTCTGAAAAATGAGAAACAGGAACTGAAATTGTTGATGTTCCATTTTGTATTGCATAGTAAAGGTTGAAAACGACGAAGTAGAACTTTGAATTTTGTAAACGGCACTTTATCCTTTTGTTTATTCATTTCGGTCTTGTGAAAACATATATAATATCGTTAAAGATAAAAAATAAAGATGTTTATTCAAGCATAAATATTTTAATTTATCGTAATACTTGAGCATTGACACGATCATAAGTTAACCACATATAGGATGATACATGAGAATAATTCAATTATATTATTACTCATAGTCTCTGTAATAGTTGAGCATCATCACAATCACCAGTTAATCACTTCGGGCGTGCTGCTTGAGAACACCGTTAATTATGATTTATTAAACTGAAGGTTTCATATATAAATTCTATTTTACGACAGAAATAGTATCAAAACTGAGAAGTTTATAGATTTTATAAAATCGAATTTCTATTTATTTTCTGACTTCGTTAGAAACGCAAATAAAAATTTTAAGCTCTCACTTATTCTCGCTAATTTTTTCAAAAATATTAATGGATGGGTATTTTTGAACATTATGGATGATTCGTTATCGAGTATTATAAATTGGTGGTTCTTTTCTTGAATATTAAAACTCATAGTAGACATTCGGTTTTTCAAGCTCTGTTTGGTTCTCTGTGTTTATTATATTCAATCAAGCTTTACGAGTCAGGAAACTACAACTGGGGCCTTTGCTATGATTTTTTTTTACTAAAAATAGATTTGTTATGATTTTACTAATTAAAATCTTGTGTAACAATAGCTCGGAGGGTCATTTTGTTAGCAAAAGCCCCAACTTATCAATCCATAAATATTACAATGAAATGAAATCATGACTGAAAATAAAGATTGGAACCGGTTAATTTTTTTGTAGATCTGGTCAAATTATGTTGGTCATATTGTAAAATCTGCGTCAAATCAAAATTTATATACAGGAATAGGGCGAAAACTTATGCTAAAATAAGTGTAGGATTAGAATTATTCTTAACTATTTTGATCTGATATACTGTAGATATGAATTTGACACACAACACATGTATATGAAACACTAATTTAATTAATTTAATAAAAAACTTCTATTCTCGTATCTAATAACCTTGATGTATTCGACTATATAAATTTTGAGTTGTTTTGCTTGTAAAAATATGACGCACTTTATTTTGTGAATTCAATTTATCTCGCATAACTAGTAAATTAACCTTTCCCATATTATCTCTCTTTACCAACTAATCCAACAAGTTGGATTAGTTGGATTAATTTGATTAGTCGACGGGAATTCTATTTCGGGAAAGGAGATTGTCGCGTCCGATCGTGCAGCGATCATATCTTCACGTGCCATAAATCGCGTTATGGACCAGTATATATTGATATACAATAGGAAACACAGCATTACTATATTTCTTTATTATAAAGTAATTGTGTGTGATCCACACAAAAACTGTGAAACATTAAAAATTTACAATTATGATTGCTTTTAAAAAAACAATGACTATTCTGAATTCTCAAATTCATTTTCGTAAAATTTTATGCCTTTAAGGTACATGGTGTATTCTTTACTAACCGATTGTGTATTCATTTGCAATTGCGATTCAGGTAGTTTAGATAGTTCTTCGATCATGTCTACGATAATGTCGGTGGTACAT